TTTATTTGTTTATTTATTCCTCCTCCTCCTCCTCCTCCTCCTCCTCCTCCTCCTCCTCCTCCTCTTCTTCTTCTTCTTCTTCCTAGAAACTGAACCCAGGGGTCCTTTACTTCTGAGCTACAACCCCAGAACTTTTTATTTTTTATTTTGAGACAGGGTCTGGTTAAGTTGAGGAGGGTCTCACTAAATTGTTGAGGTTGGCTTCAAACTTGGCTATCCTTCTGCTTCAGTCTCCCAGGTTGCTGGGATTACAGGTAAGTGCCACTACACCTGGCTCCAATATATTTTCAATCCTGTCAGAACCCAGCTTGGAGGCTGGGGGTATAGTTCAATAATAGAGCAGTTACCTAGCATGCACAAGGCAAGGCATTCCACCCCCAGAGCCACAAATATGCAATAAAAGAAAGAACCTAGCCTGGAGCCTCATCTTCAGTCTAATTTTTCCAGGAGGTATTATTAGAGATTCTTTCAACAAATATTTATTGTGCACCAACGATGTGCCAATTAGGTATTAGATATACAATGTTGAACAAAATGTCTATCTCTGCACACTGGAACATATAGTAGAAAAGACTTAAATGCTTTTCCCCTTCTCTCTTCCTCTCTATCTTCCTTTCTTTCTTTGTTTAATCTCTGTGTGTATGCAAATTGATTTGATAATTGCTTTAAAGGAAAAAAATAGATTCTATGCAAGGATGATATTCAAAATATTTCACAGGATGCACAGCATAATTACCCATTAAAAAACGGATGTGAGTATAATTTGGTACTGGGAATTGAACCCAGTGGTGGGTTTTTGTTTGTTTTGTTTTGTTGTTTTGGCGGGAGGTTGAGACAAGGTCTTGCAGAGTTACTGAGGGTTTTGCAAAATTGCCATTCTCCTGCCTCAGCCTCAGAATTTCTGGGATTACAGACATGTGCCACCTCTCTGGACCAGATCAGATTTCAGTGTAATTTAAAAGAAGACACTCTTTTTTCTTCTACATGTCCTAATATGAAGTAACTGAATAGTACTGATACTTTTATGAAGGGAGTAGACTCTGTAGACCTTAATTTGTGAGTATGTGTGTCTGTGTATGCGTGTTTGTGACACTAGGAATTTAACCCAGTGGCCCTTATCCACTGAGCCCCATCCCCAGCCTCTTCCATTTTTTATTTTGAGACAGGATCTTGCTAAGTTGCTTAGGGCCTCACTAAATTGCTGAGGCTGGCCTGGAACTTATGATCTTCCTGCCTCCTGAATCACTGGAATTATAGGTGTGCACCGTAGTGCTTGGCCATGTCTCTTGTTTTTATTTTCTCAGACCCAGATTCTTTGACATAATAGGAAATGGCAATCAATAGTGCCTGTCTTTACACCTCACAACTTGTCCAAGATGGAGGGTCTGAGTCTTAGGTTCAGTGGTTAATATCCCAAGACAGGGATCCAATGGGTCAGATGCCTACCCTTGTGGGGGAAGGGAGGTATGAGGCAAGACTTAATAACATCAGTCCCCCCAGAATACCATAAGACCAGAATTATTTTATTAGTATGGGAGAGAGAGTCACAAGCTATCAGTGGGCTGTGTGTGAACCATTGCACATAGTAGCATCCTGAGGGGATAAATCTGGTACTAGGAACTCCCCCTGGCACCCCCCACAGGTATTGACCACCTGATGCAGGTGAACTTCCCCCACAAATTCTGCCAAAGATCCCACACATCACCTGAGATGGGTGTGACCTGCCAATATGCCACTCAACCTGCTGACTGCAAGATATCATGAAGCAAGACTCCACCCTTGAAACCTTATCCCTGCCTTTGATGTACCCCCTTAAATAAACCACCTGAGCCATTTTGTTCTTTGTCTAGTTCCAGAACCCATGTGGACCAAATCTTTGCTTTCTGTAAATATTTCTGAGTATTTGTGCTTTGTTATTTACTAATTATTTAGAATTGTAAATCTTAGAGTGGCTTGGATTATCCTGGGTAGGAAGAAGAAGACCTTAATGAGATGCTGGCCATTGTCCTCCCATAGGAGAGAAATAGGTTTTATTAAAAAAAAAAAAAAATGGGGGGGGTGAAATTTGTTTCCCAAAGAGGAGGAAATTAGATAAAATATGTATATAACATCAAGTAAGACAAGATAGCTATGGGCTGGGATGGTGGCAACAGAAATAGCAAAAATATATTTCTTTTGGCGGGTTCAAACTATATTTGGCAATTCTGTGAAAGACTGTATGAGGAGTGGATAAAGACAAATGTATTATTTACTCTTGGGTTCATTTATTTCTTTATCAACTATTAAGTACGTGACCATTATTTGCCAGACATTATTCTAACGACTATGTATATATAAAATAGTGAACAAAATAAACATGGTCTCTGATCTCATGTAGTCAACATTTTAGTGTAAGAGACAATTCACAAGTAAAGAAACCAATCAAGGGCTGGGGTTGTGGCTCAGAGGTAGAGTGTTTGCCTAGCATGCATGAAGCACTGGGTTCAATCCTCAGCACCACATAAAGTAAAATAAAGACATTGTATCCAAGAAAGAAAGAGAGAAAGAAAGAAAGAAAACCAATGTATAATTATAACTTCAATCAAGTGTTAAGAGTAACAAAGAGGAGCTGGGGTTGTGGCTCAGTGATAGAGCACTTGCCTAGCACGTGTGAGGTACTGGGTTTGATTCTCAGCACCACATATAAATAAAATAAAGCTCCATCAACAACTAAAAAAAAAAAAAGTAACAAAGACACAAGCATAAAGAATAATAGGAGAGGGGCTGGGGATGTGGCTCAAGCGGTGGCACGCTCGCCTGGCATGCGTGCGGCCCGGGTTCGATCCTCAGCACCACTTACAAAGATGTTGTGTCCACCGAAAACTAAAGAATGAATATTGAAATCTCTTTCTCTCTCTCTCTTAAAAAAAAAAAGAATAATAGGAGAGGGAAAAAGTCCCTCCCACCACCAAAACTAGTTATTGTGTACATGTTCATTCAACCACTGAGCCACATTCCCCAGTACTTTTTTTTTTTTTTTTTTTTTTGAGACAGGGTTTTGCAAAGTTGCCCAGGCTATCCTTGAACTCGAAATCCTTCTGCCTCAGCCTCCAGAGAACCTGGGATTATAGATGTTCTCCTCCATGCTTGCTGAAATCTTAGTCCTTAATAATGTAGTCACGCTACTGGATATATCAACTGTAGCATTCCTTCTATTCTGAGCTTCCTGCTATGGGAACCATTGTGTTTTTTGTTTAAGAAGCCTTGTGTCAGGTTTCTATTATTTCATCCAAATGCATCTTATTTATTTGTTTATTTATTTATTTATAGTATCAGGGATGGAACCCAGAGGCACTTAAACACAGAACCACATTCTCAGCCCTTTTTGTTTTATTTTGAGAGAGGTCTAAGTTGGTTGAACTTGCAATTATTATTACCTGCTTCAGCCTCCCAAACCACTAAGATTACAGGTTTTGTGCCACCACACCTGGTTCCAGTCCTTTTTAAAATTTTTTTGAGACAGGGTCTCCCTAAGTTGTGTAAATTAGCTTCAAACTTGCAATCCTCCTGTCTCACTTTCCTGAATTGCTGAGATTATAGGCGAGGACCACTGTACCTGGCATCAAATGTATTTTAATCAAATACAGACAAAAGGAACAGCATATGCCAAGACCCAGGAGACAGGAAAAGGCTTGGATAATGAGATGAACTTAAGGAGTCACATAATGAAGTGATCCAGTCAAACTATCTGACATTGCCAGTACCCGTGGCTTATTGCCTACATTAATAATCAAAGGAGATGCTAAATTTCTGCTAGAGGTTAATGAAAACAAAGTTGTGACTTTCTTTTTCCCTTCCAAGTTCACAGATTTCCTAAGTTTTATGGCCCACAGGCTCAGCTTTAGAAGAACCTCTGCTTTGCAACCTTAAGTTAAATCATTTAGCTTCTCTAACTTTTACTCTTTTTTTTTTTTTTTTTTTTTATTTTAAAAATCTGTAGTTGTCAATGGACAGGATGCCTTTATTTTATTTGTTTATTTTTATGTGGTGCTGAGGATCGAACCCGGTGCCTCACACATACTAGGCAAGCGCTCTGCCGCTGAGCCATAGCCCCAGCCCCATCTTTTACTCTTTTTATCATCAGTCCTTGGTGTTTGATACATTCCTAACTCATTCACTCTCTCACATTTGTAGGCAATTTTTTCATACTATTTTCTTATCCCCAGCCTCCATCACTCCATTTTCATTCTTTCTCACAGATGCTTCCTAATTCACAGAGAAAATGGATGTCTTAGGAAAGAATTTCCATAGACTCCCACATCTACCAAGCTCTGCATCTGCATCCACTTTCTCTGCCTGTTGTCGCAGATAACAGAGGACTCCTACCTAATGGCAGTCCTGAGTAGATCCCATCCCTTCTAGACTACTCAAGGACACCATTCTAGCAAACTTCCTCTCTCCTCCATCATCAGAGATTTTGAGATGGTTCCAAAATAACTTCATCAGCATATAAACATGCTATAACTCCCTAATTAAAACCTTTTCTTTTTGGGGGGCTGGGGGAGTTACCAGGGATTGAACTCAGGGGCACTTGACCACTAATCCACATCCCTAGCCCTATTTTGTATTTTATTTGGAGACAGGGTCTCACTAAGTTGCTTAGTGCCTTACTAAATTGCTGAAGCTGGCTTTGAACTTGTGATCCTCCTGCCTCCTCCTCCCAAGTGGCTGGGATTGTAGGCATTTACTATTCTCTTTAACCGTACTCCAATCAAGCTTTCATCCACCATTTTACCAAAAGTGCTCTTGTTAAGTTTAATAATTAACTCACATTTTCGTTTTGTTTGCTTTTTGGTACTGGAGATTGGACCCAGGGACACTTAACCACTGAGGCATATCCCCTGCCCTTTTTACTTTTTTGAGACAGAGTATCCCCAAATTGCTTAGGGCTTTGCTATATTTATTATGTTTATTTCTAGTGTTTCTTTCTGTTCTAAAATGCAAGCTTTCCCAAGTCAAGAATCTGTTCAGTGATGTATTATAAGTCTCTACTACAATGCTTGGTATAGAGTAAGTGCTCAATAAATAAGTGTTGAATGAATGAATATTAATACCTACACTAAAAAAATATCATAAGGATTAAATAACAAAGTCCTGTGATGTGGACCATGCCTATAATCCCAGTGTCTTAATGAGACCCTGTCTCTAAATAAAATACAAAACGCGGCAGCGGCGGGGGGGGGGAATGTGGCTCGGTGTTTAAGTGCCCCTGGGTTCAATATCTGGTACCAAAAACAAAACAAAACAAAAAAACACAAAGTCCTGACACATAATGATCACCCAATAAATGTTAGATCCCTATCTTCCTTCCTTCTGCAAAGATCTTCCCCTGTTACCCGTTCTTCTGAAAAAAAAAATTTTTTTTGAGATTGGTTTTTCTCACTATGTTGCTTAGGCTGGTCGTGAACTCCTCGGTTCAAATAATCCTTCTACTTCAGCCTTAGTAATGGATCTATAAGGCATATACCACTATGTTCAGTTTCTCCCCAATTTTTCACCATTCTAGTTTCTCTTTTGAGTTTAAAATGGAGGAAAATCTTACAACAGGTCACAGATGATTAAATGGGCTAAGTAACTGAATAGACACTTCTCAGAAGAAGATATATAATAAATCAACAAATATATGAAAAAAATGTTCAACTTCTCTAGTAATTAGAGAAATGCAAATCAAAATTACTCTAAGGGGCTGGGGATATAGCTTAGTTAGTAGAGTGCCTGCCTTACATGCACAAAGTCCTGGGTTCAATCCCCAGCAACAAAACACACACACACACACACACACGTACACACACAATAAAATAAAATAAAACAAACTACTCTAATCAGAACGGCAATTATCAAGAATACCAGCAGAGCCAGGCATGGTGGTGCATGCCTGTAATCCCAGCAGCTCAGGAGGCTGAGACAGAAGGTTTATGAGTTGAAAGCCAGCCTCAGCAGAGGCAAGGTGCTAAGCAGCTCAGTGGGACTTTGTCTCTAAATTGGGATGTGGCTCAGTGGTCAAGTGCTCTTGAGTTCAATACCTGATACAAAAAAAAAAAAAAAAAAAAGAAAGAAAGAAAGAATATAAGCAATAATAAGTATTGGCAAGAATGCAGGAAAAAAGGTACAGTCATACATTGCTGGTGGCACTGCAAATTGGTGAAACCAATCTGAAAAGCCGTATGGAGTTCCTTAGAAAACCTGGAATGGAACCTCCATTTGACCAAGCTATCCCACTCCTTGGTCTATACCCAAAGGACTTAAATCAGCATACTACAGTGACACAGCCACATCAATGTTCATAGCAGCTCAACTCACAATAGCTAAACTGTGGAATCAACCTAGATGCCCTTCAACAGATGAATGGATAAAGAAACTGTGGTAGATATACTCAATGGAATATTACTCAGCATTAAAAGAGAATAACTATGGCATTTGCAGGTAAATGGATGGAGTTGTAGAATATTAAGCTAAGTGAAGTAAGCCAGTTCCAAAAAAACAAAGGCCAAATGTTCTTTCTGATAAGTAGAAGCTGATCCATAATGCGTAGGGCATGGGGAGAATGGAGGAACTTTGGATTGGGCAGAGGAGAGTAAGGGGAGCGGAGAGGTTATGGGGCCAAGAAAGATGGTGGAATGAGGTGGACATCATTATCCTAGGTACATATATAACTGCACATATGGTGGATGCAACATTGTATACAACCAGAGAAATAAAAGTTTTGCTTCATTTGTGTACAATGAATTGAAATGAACTCTGCTGTCATGTATAACTAATTAGAACAAATAAAAAAAATTTAATAAAAAAGGGTCACAGATGTCATTTGAGAAGAAAAAGCAGCCTAGGAGATTAGTTTTACTTATACCACAATGTTTGTCAAATTAGCAAATTGTCCCCAGAGAAGCAGAGAGGCCTGATGGGTAGGTAAATGTTTTTGTGGTTGGAGTTGGTAGTTTATTGCACAAATTTAAAGATCAACTTTATTGAGGTATAATTTACATACACTATTCATGGGTTACTCTACCACCGCTATATCCTAGCCCTTTTTAATTTTATATTTTGAGACAGGGTCTTGCTAAGTTGCCAGGCTAACCTTGAACTCAGCCTCCCCAGTGGCTAGGTTTACTGAGTTTTTATCTGATTTTTAGGTGATTTGATTTGGGGTGGAGAGCATTAAGGTTACCTGGAATTATGCAGGTCCAGGGATTTAACAGATTCTTGTTAGGAAAAAGGACAACATCATGGCTCTTGGGACACCAAATAGGGACAACTGGAGGGCTAGCCTGAGATTGATCCTGGTGTCTCACTGCACCAGAATCTGCATCTCCAAAATGCCTGGCAACTTCAAGGCACTTCCGGAAGGAATGAGCCAGTTGACCTGACCCCTCTCAAGTGTGTTTAGGCCAAGAGGTGACCCAGGGACTGAATTCAGGCTCTCCTTCGCCTTGCAACTCTCCTGCCACTACCCACGCCCCACATCCCCGCCCACCGATGCGGCGCTCCAGCCTATGACAGCCAGGCTTCATCGCTATCACTACTCCCATTGGGCCTTATAGCTTCTCTGGCCTGCAGTAGAAAGTGGCTTCGGATCTGCCACAGCAGGCTGGAAAAAGCAAAAGCGCCGCACCAGTTCCCACTTCGGCTCCTGGGTTTCTGACGCTCTTGACGTGAGAAGCAGCAATGGTTGAACCCGCCTACCAACCAAGCTATCTTTCCCGCTCTATGGCTGAAAGCCTCAAGGGGTTGCAAGTTCAGTTTTCACTTAAGAGACCGCAACTCTGAGTTCAGGGTGGCTGGAGAAATTGAGAATTCTGGATGAGAGGTCAGACCGCATCTGGCCGCAGACTCTCCCCAGAACTGACTAGCCTTTCTGAAAGCTCCAGTAAGGCCTAGATCAATATAAGAGGAAACCATGGGGATTGGGGTCCCCAGGAGATCAAGGCACCGCCCGCTCGGCTGGGCGGGGTTCTGGCGGAAGGCGGGGCAGACCTGAGCTACCTGGCGTGCCCGCCTAGCCCTGCACAACGGAGGTGGCAGTGGTAGCTCTCGCTTGTGGACCTCGTTCTACTTGGGCTCGACCTCGCCTCCATGGAGGGACCTCAGGAACATTTGAATGGGAAGCTTCGGCTTTGCTTCTCCCCTGCTGCCCGGACCAGCCTTTTACTGCTCAGGCTCAACGACGCTGCGCTGCGGGCACTGCAAGAGTGTCAGCGGCAACAGGTAAGGCCGGCTCCTGGCTCCTTCTTCCGTACCCCTACCTTCGGGACTTCAGTTCTCAATCGGCCACACTGGAGCAGGGACTTGGGGAAGGGGAGCAGTTTTCCGCAAGCTCCATGCTCCTCACCTCTCCAAGTGAAACCGCAGCCTTACCTTCGCTCAGCTAGCGTCTGTGCTCTCCCGGCAGGTACGGCCAGTGATTGCTTTCCAAGGCCACCGAGGGGTAAGTGCGGGCAGGGTGTGTGAGTGAGGTCGGGATGAGGGGGCACAAAAGTGGGCTTCAATAAGGTGCGGTCAGGGCAGGAGGCTGAGAATGGTCACGGTATGAGGAAGTTCGGAGAACTGAACCCTAAGTGGAAACAAGGGGGCTGCTGGGTTTGTGGTCCCAGGAGGCTGCGGCTGGGGACACTGTGCCTTCTCAGTATCTTGGGGAACTCAGGCTCAGCTGCACCTGGCGTGCTAACGAGCCCCGTGGGACCCATCTTCAGTCTTAGGCTGGCTCTGGGAGGAGTGGCGTGGGCGGGAGGGGAGGGGTTGACTTCATGGAGCTTATTCTTTTTTCCACCCCAGTATCTGAGACTCCCAGGCCCTGGTTGGTCCTGCCTCTTCTCTTTCATAGTGTCCCAGTGTGGCCAGGAGGGCGCTGGCGGTGGCTTGGACCTTGTGTGCCAACGTCTAGGCAGGTAAGGCTGCAGGTAAGAATTTGCAGGAAGTAGGGAAGGGAATGCGAAAAGGTGCTTAAAAACTCTCCACCTTGTTGTTTTTTCTCACCACTTCTTTTCAGATCTGGGCTTAACTGCCTCCACTGCCTGGGCCCACTCAGGGAGCGCCTCACTATTTGGGCAGCTATGGATTCCATCGCAGCCCCATCAATGGTTCAGGAACACAACCTAACTGAAGATGCCAGAGATCCTGAGAACTGGCAGAATAAGGGAGACTATTTTGAAGGAGATGTAGTGTCACAGACACAGGTGGCACTAGAAGAGGTGAGGTTAGAAAACTGAAGGGATTTGTGATAAGGTGGGGCAAAGCCTGAAGCTGAGGGAGTCAAGTGCTCCTGCCACTTTCCCTGCCAGGTGTCAGATCCACTGGCAAGCAATCAAGGACAGTCAATGCCAGGATCCTCAAGGGAGCACATGGCACAGTGGGAAGTGAGGTACCTGGCACAGGGTGGGACTAACATGGGAAGCCCTGGTCTAATCTCCACCCTTAAATGCTGTAAAAGATCTGGACCCAGGTCCTACCTTGGTCTTCATCTCTCCCATTCTCTCTTCAAATATCTTAGGAAGCAGACCCACCTTCCAAACAGAGAGTTGGATCAGGCATTGCCTTCCTTCACTAGCTGGAAACATCAGCACAAGGTAATGCGTAATGGCAAGGACTTTTCAGAAACCACTGAAATTTTTAAATTGAGAAGCCAAAATAGGAATCTCCTGGTTTGCTGTTTGTTTTCTCCACAGAAACGTCCATCGTCAGAAGCTACTGAAGAATTAGAAGAAAAGAGGCTCAGAGCTCTGCCTCTAGCTTCAGGTCCCCTACAAGAGCTGTCCAGTCAGGGCTTACAAGAGGAAGAAGATTGGGAACAAGAAGATAAAGAAGACATAGACCCTAGGTTGGAGCACAGTCCCTTAGTTCAAGCAGGTGAATTAATGAGAGGAGGGTAAAAATGCCACAGTGGAAAAAAGATCTATAGTCACTTTTGTGTTTTCTTGCTTCCTTCCCAGACTCTGAATCCCCAAGCCCTGAAGAGGTGCCAGATTATCTCCTGTGAGTAATTTCCAATTTCATCAAGCCTATACATATAAGCTCCCTGGAAGTCAGGAGCTTTTGAATGAAATTGAAGGTGATAACTCTCCTGACAGGCAATACAGGGCCATCCAAAGTACAGAGCAGCAACAGGCCTATGAGCAGGACTTTGAGAGAGATTATGCTGAATACCGCATCCTCCATGCCCGTGTTGGGGCCGCAAGCCAAAGATTCATAGAGCTGGGAGCAGAGATCAAGAGAGTTCAGCAAGGAACTCCAGAACACAAAGTAAGGACTGGACCCAGGCTGGCTTTCCAGCCTTAATGGCCGTTACCTATTGCTAATCACCCATAAGCCTGTTTGTTCAGTGACTAAGAAAAGTGACAGGCAAACCTGTTTTGGCAGAAAAATTAGTCTATATCATTTGGTGGAATGAGAAGGGAGGTTACTTTCCTGATTTTATTTTTCTTCCTTTTAATGTTGAACTCAGTGATAGTATTTTCTGTTTCAGGTGCTGGAAGATAAGATTGTCCAGGAGTATAAAAAGTTCAGAAAGGTAAGACAAGTTCTGAGAACAAAAGCAAGAAGGTAGAACTGTTTTTAGTTTTTGACAAGAATGCTTTTTCTCTGCAGCGGTACCCAGGTTATAGAGATGAGAAGCATCGCTGTGAGTACCTGCATCAGAAATTGTCCCACATTAAAGGTCTCATCCTGGAGTTTGAGGAAAAGAACAGGGGCAGCTGAAGCTGTCAAGCAGGCTTCTTGACCCTCTGTCCAGTGATATGAACAAAGCAGCTATAAACTAGTGTGTAACTATCTGCTTTTCTTTTGCTGACCAGTTGAGGCCATGGTGGCAAGTAGAGAGCTGCTGTTCTAGGTTCTTGAGGATTTTTATTGTTGTCATATTTGAAATTTTTAGGTTGTGGGGCCACTGCTGAGACCCCCTCAGCTGTGCCCAGGAGACTAGAAAAGTAGCAGAAACTTTGAAGATATTAGACAAACTCAATAAGTAAATCTAGCCTCATAGTTCCCCAAAGGAAAGAACAAGTTTTGGTAACAGCTAAGGAAACTTATAGCACCCCTGGATATAATGGGAAAGGGCTTGGGTATTACCCATGTACTGAAAGTAAATTCTTTTATAAACATGATTAAAATCTTGCTTCTGTGTTTTTGTACAAGTTTTATTTATTTATTTTTTTGTTTTAGTTGCAGTTGGACACAATACTTTTTTTTAAAAATGTGGTGCTGAGGATCAAAACCAGCACCCTGAACGTGCTAGGCAAGCACTTTACTGCTAAGCCACAACCCCAGCCCCTGTACAAGTTTTTATATTTTCCTTAAATCCTCCAAAGCAGTGATTTTTACCCTTTACATCTAACTGCTTCAGGCGCTCTCTAAACAATTAGATCCCCAGCCCCTGGCTCAGATGTTATGAATTAAAATCTCTTAAGATTATGGTTTAGATGTGTCTTTTTTAAAATTATTCTTTGCATTGATAAGGATTGAACCCAGGCCGCACCAAATGTTCTACCACTGAGCTATATCCCCAACCGCAATATCTTTACTATGCATGATCCATGTGTGTTTTGCTGTAAGGCTTTACCAAATCCATCTTATAGTTGAACTAGAGATTACAGTAAGAAAGTTCTCCTTTTGTGAACACAGGGGTTTATAGGATCACTTACAGTCACAAGAGTGATATTGCTTTCCCTAGTTCCACTGGAGAGTGAAGTTAATGGACCACACCCAATAGTGTCAGCAATTCCTGAAACAACTTGGATGCAACTCCAACCTGGTGCCACACCCATGCAGGGCATTTCTGGGCAAAGAACAGTCTTTGGGAGGTATAAACATGCAGAAAGCTTAGCATTAACCCATCCTTAGGGCACCGACTGGGCCAGAAACAGCCCAATAGGAAAGACCCTTTACCTTTTCTAATCAACTCATTTTCAAATTGAGAAATTACATCTAACAACCAGGCAATAAACATGTAGGAATAGAGAAATTCAGAGTGATTTAGAGTTGAGAACTTTGGACCCAATCAATTATTCTATAGCTATAGCAATTATGTATAGCCACTGTGATGGCTTTTTTTGTTTTGTTTTGTTTAAGGTACTGGGGATTGAACCCAGGGGTCTCTACCACTAAGCTTCATCCTCATCCCTTTTTATTTATTTATCTTAAGACAAGGTCTCATTAGGTTGCCCAGACTGGAATTGAACTTGCAATCCTCCTGAGTTGCCAGGATTATAGGCATGTGCCACCATGTCTGGCAATGCCACTATGTGACTAAGTGAATTAAAATTAAAAAGGTAGTTCCTAGCCACATTTCAAATGCTCCATAGCTACATGTATTGGACAATGAAGATTACAAAATGTTACCATCACTGGGGAAAGCTTTACTGGATAGTAACAGTCTAAAGAAACTTGATTCTTCATTCCACGGGAAAAACAACACTTTAAAGGGGGCTCATTTATTGTCACTGTTCCAAATGTACAAAAAAAAATTAGAAAATAACCCCCCAACTCAAATCCCCCCACCCCCATAACATTCTTCCCAACACAAATAATTTTTCCCAAAACCAAACACAAACTGGTCCTGGTATTTCCATAAACAGTGCAGCTAAGAAACAGTTTAGAGAAAATTTAACAGGATTCAGATTATATCCATTCTATCCTCTCAGCCCCGAGAGGTAATAATCCCATATGGATCCCAGTCCTCCCCAATGGTTTTCCCATCTCTCTGGTAGAAGAGTCCTTTTACAAAGTGGTATATTTGGCTGCTGCTTTAGAGATCTTCCTGTGCCTTCTTCTTCTTCTTGGGTTTTTCTTCTTGAATTATAGGGGGATTTGTAGCTTCTCGCTGTAGATAGCTAATAAAATCATTTAATTCACGGCCACCCTAAAAACAGAAAGATTACTCTGAAAATTTAACTTCTTAAAGAATTCTGGATTCTTATATGTATTGTCATGAATGTTGAAAGAATTACCAGTTAAAAATATCCAATTAAAGAACTGGATATGCACGTGTGTGTGTGTGTGTGTGTGTGTGTGTGTGTATGAGGGGAGGGTGGGACAATGCACTTACTTCATATTTCTTTGGACTTAGCTTCTTGCTGGCTGGAGAGAAGTAGATAGTAGGAAAACTGGGGAAAGAACACAGAAGAGTTTAGCAATTTCTGGTTCTCAATTTAATTCTATAATTCCTCAAGTTTCTGGGAATCACTTCTCTTTACGGTTTCAAATATATATATATATTTTAAAAAATACCTTTATTTATTTTTATGTGGTACTGAGGATTGAACCCAGTGCCTCACACATGCTAGGCTGAACTCAACTCCAGCCCCTAAATTACATCTTGACTAAACCCAGAACTCACAAAATTTCTGACGGTGGGCCCACACTACAGATCACTAAGCTAAGAAGGAACAGGTATCCCAGATGCTTGGGAGGCTGAAGCAGGAGGATCACAAGTTCAGAGCAAGCCCCAGCAACTTAGAAAGACCCTGTCTCTTGTGTTATTTTTAAACTTTTTAGTCTACTTACCCTCTGACTTCATATGGAGAAGGCACATCATTGGCTGTGGCATCCATCTTGGCTATGACAATATTTGGGTCTTTGCTGAGCTGTTAATAAAAAGGTTAAACCTTAATTTTTTTTATTTTTTCAGTGCTGGGGATCAAACCTAAGCCTTCCTACATGCTAGGTAGGAGCTCTACCACTGAGCTACACCCTTAGCCTAGAAAAGGTTGGACCTTTAAGTTTCAAGTTTTCAGTGACTGAGGCACATTTCATCAATTCAGGATTTAAAACAATCTCAGTCTTCAAGCACCTGGACAAATTGCTGCTCAGACGGGAAGAGTGGTGATGCTTACAGATAGTACTCAATCTTCCAGCTTTCCTTTCTTCTTTTGGGTCCTACATATTAAGACCACATAAAGCTGGGCTTAGTGGTACACACCTATAATGCCAGCCTCCTGGGAGGCTGAGTCAGGAAGAGCACAAGTTCAAGGCGAGCCTGGGCAACATAGTGAGGCCCATCTAAAAAAGAAAGCCCCACACATATACAGACACCTTTAAATTTACTTGGCCTGAATAAGTCATAAAAAGGGCTGATCCAAGCATTTTAAAATAAAGCAACATATGGGTTCATATAAGCCATTATAAAAATTCAGAAGCACCTACATATTTTTATCTATAATCTAGGTTGAGTCTGAAGAGTGGAAGATTAAAGTATGTCTCTGAAGCACTATACAGACTATACACACTAGGGGGCAGTCAAGAGAAAGTGAGTTAAAGGGAGTGGGGGCAAACTCTACCAGTACTTAGGAATATTTACATCAATTTTCCACTCTAATTCTAATCTTCAGAATAGGATTCAGACTTACCTTCTCTCCAAGTTCTTTATACTTGGGTTCCAGATTTTTACAGTGACCACACCAAGGGGCATAAAATTCAATCAGCACATCTTTATTTTCATTATTCACTATTTCATCAAAATTCTCTGCTACTACTACCTGGAAAACACACAGAAGATTCTCTAGTTGTATGGTGAAGTGAAGAATAAATACAAAAGGTTTATGTGTTTCTGGACCCAACTCCTCTCAAATATGGATTCAATAGCACTGAAAATCAGTCATGGAAACCAAATCTCATTTACAGGCTATATTGAAGGTTATCTCCATTTCCCATTAACCAACTCATTCTCATGTCTATCACCTGTCCAACTATGTTCAAGAAGCCAAAGGAAATATAATTACTACCTAACCATTCCTTAAAATAATTTCAATGCTACAAAACTATTCCTAAGGATTATCTTGATCTATCTCAAAGAGTAACCAAGCCCAGATACAAATTCCATCAGAAAAATTCTATGGTTTTAAACTTCTGTCCCTAATTAATGTTATGAGCTCTGCCAGTATTTGTTTTTGACTTAGGGAGGTGAGGACAAAAACAAAAATATATCCAGCAAGGTCTCTGTTCAGACTCAGCATTTTTAGAATAAAGAAATGAGGAGGCGACTGCTAATAGGAATGGTGAGGTTGTGAGTAGTGCACCTTTACAGGCCCATCATTGCTCTCTGGGATAGGCTCAGACTTCAGATATCTCTTCAGGTTGCCATCAAAGTAATCTTGAAGAAACCTCTCTAGAGCCTTGCCATCTCGCCTGAAATTAGAAAGACAGGGTCATGTTTGTTAACTCCCATCACAAGATTAAAAGCAATTTCTCTGAATAGTTTTTACATATTTTAGCTTCAGTTTCACAGCTAAAATAAAGGAAAGGACTCTACTTCTCAACATGTGGAATTAGACTGAATAAGAAAGAAATCAACTCATTTTATTTAATTTCCAATGTGTTCTCTGTGGATGAGGAATTTCAAAAGGAAGAAGTACTCTCTTTTTTTTTTTTTTAATTTTTTTTTTTAAAGAGAGAGTGAGAGGGAGAGAGAGAATTTTAATATTTATTTTTTAGTTTTCGGCGGACATAACATCTTTGTTTGTATGTGGTGCTGAGGATCGAACCCGGGCCGCACGCATGCCAGGCGAGCGCGCTACCGCTTGAGCCACATCCCCAGCCCCGTACTGTCTCTTTTATAAGAGACTGAGATCTGATTTTGTTGCTGTTGAGAACAGTGCCATTACATATCTTGTAATATAAGTTGACTCAAAAGAAAGATTTTTCTCTTCTGTTAATCCTTCAAAGTGTCAAAAGTGAAGGTAAAAACTGGCCAGGCATGGTGGTGCACACCTGTAATCCCAGCATCTGTGGATGCTGAGACAGGAGAACCACAAGTTCAAAGCCAGCCTCACCCTGTCTCTAAAGGTAAAAATTGGTCTGAGGTATTAAGATCTTTTCAATTTCCCTGTTTACTTTAGGCTCATGTTGTATTCCTAGAAGAAAACACATTCTGCTAGAGCTGAAAGGGGGATGACTTGAAGTTATATCAATCTCAAAGAGGTTCTCCAATTTTCTCTATTTACTACTTCTAGAGAAGTACAATCATATATAAATTCCAACCTGTCATCCTTTTGTTAGTTTTCAGAAATCATTTAGAATCATGATCCTTAAAGTAACTATAAATGAAAATTGACAGTCATAGGTCTTCACTAGAAGACCTATCTTTTACATCCCAATGTTGTGCTTTACAAATTCTTGGTAGTATAAAAGGCTGTAACAATTTCCTTACAGAATCAAATCCTGAACCTATGCTGACTAGCAACTCACGAGAATTCCTCCTGCATGACAAACTTCTCCCCTTTCGCAGTTCTGATAGCAACAACAGGAACTTCTCCAGTAGTGCTCTCCAAGCCAAAATCAGACAATTCATGGCTAAAGGTTTTACGGCTAGCTACAGCACAGTTGAGTTTGTGTCCAGCATCCAGGAATTTCTTTGCCACCATCATTACTCTGTGAGAAACAAGAGATATTTTTGCTAAGATTATGCTAGGTAAAGCATTTTTGAGGTTAGAAAGCAAAGACCAGGTTCTATAGTCTAGGCAACCCCCTGAAATTAACCTGAACTTGTGTTCCTATGCAGTAACACAGGATTATGGTATACTTCAATGTCTTAAAACTGAACTTCACTGCCAAATTGGCGGTACCCCACCAACTGGTCCATTCTCACTCAATCTTACTTCATTATATAACTGTAAAATCTATTGCAAGCCTAATGACTGATTTGAAAAGAAAATTTCTAAGGGTAAAATGCACCAAGAATAGTAGTGGTGTTTTAATTAAGTGCATTTTACATCAAATTTACACCTTTTACTTTATAAAGTTTAGAGTCACAGCATCACAAAGTAAAGGAACACCTATGGAAGACATGCTCAACAATTTTGGAAATGGTTTATGTTATCTGTTCTTATGGCTTCACATATAGTTTTTGGACCTAAATGTTCCAATTCTTATCTGCTCTTACATCACATGGTAATAAGACAATTAGAAGGAATTGCTAATACATTGGATAAACTTGTTTACAAAGGGATAAACATGATTCTTATTACCTGTTCCTCCAGTAGTTAGAACCTTTAGCATTCTTTTCATAGTCCACATCATAGTAAGCCATAAGTAAGTCCTTGCCTTGTATCAAATCTTTATTATCTTCTGTCATATGAGGACAGATACCAAAACTGAAATAAAATAATTAAAAACATTGACAATTCATAGCTATATTATAAAATTATCACAAAATAATTACATCATTTATAAAGGAAGGTCATTTTCAACATCAGGACAATACTGAGCAATATACTGTACAGGACCACAATAAAAGTTCTAGGACCTACAGATGATCACTTTACTATATACTTGAACTATTATATATTATAGTTCCTTGAGTAGGCTATTTAAGCCAAACAAGGGTCTGCTTAATAACTGGAGTAAACAACTAATGTGAAGCAAAGAAATTTCAGACAAGGTATAAAGAGGTACTCACATGTTTTCCTGGATAAACTTCTTAATCTTGCTGCTAGTCAATTTCTGATCTGTATATGCCACACTTTTGTCCTCAAACTTGTTAGTAAGATGTGGAGGACGAAATAAGGTGATGCCCCTTAAAAACAAATAAACACCTTATACAATAAGCAGCAGTAGACCTGTCTTCTAACTTTCATTTAAAGTTCAGACTATCTACTTTCACTAAAGACAAAATAATTCTTTTCGGAACTGGGCATAGTGGTGCACATCTGTAATCATAGCAACTTGGAGGAGCCTGAGGCAGGACTGCAGATTCAAAGCCAGCTCTAACAACTTAGCGAGGCCCTAAGCAAACTTAGAAAGACCCTGCCTCAAAATAAAAAGGTTTGGAGTTACAGCTCAGAGGTTATTCTGAGATCAATCCCTAGTACCAAGAAAAACAAACAAAACCCCCTCTTTTCTGAGACCACAGACTTGGCAACATGACCTTCTCATCAATATAGAGATGACTAATTTCCTTGATCCTGAGTGTAATAATTGTGTATAAGGGTTAATAAACCTTGGATTGGAAAATTAGAGGACTTTGGTTCTAATATTAGCTCAACCACTAATTTCAATGACCTTGGACCAAAGAGTCAATTTAATCTACTTTTAGTTTTTTTTTTAATCAGCTCAAAAGGGAGTCAGAATGGATAATTGATTTCCAAATGTTGAAAAACAGAAAGAGAACCCAGTTTATCTCAAAGCCCAATATGTACAATAGCATAATGCAGAACTTGCTCCTACTGGAAACTAACCTTTCACCTTGTAAGAAAAGACTTCATTAAATACCTTTAAGAGTCCTTCCAGTTAAATCAGATTTAGAAAATTTTCTTTTTCTTTTCTTTTCTTTTTTTTGGTACCCAGGATTGAACCCAGGGGCACTTAAACATGAGCTACATCCCTAGCTCTTTTTATTTTGGGACAGGGTGTTGTTAAATTGTTGAGGCTGGCTTTAAACTTGCAATGTTTCTGTCTCAGCCTCCCAAGCAAAAATTTTCTCTCTTGTCGGTATCACATATTCAGCCAAGGTTTCCTGAATCCACTGTGACACATGAGAAAACATGACTACCTTAATTACTGACATCCGGCCTCTAGTTTCTTGTTTATTCCTCCTCCCCACACCACATACACCCTCATACAATTTCATCACTTGTTTTTGGCTACATCTTGGCATCTGTAAATCCTTATACTCTTTTCTCATTCTTCCAAAATATATATTTTTTTCTTTTTGTGGTGCTCAGAATCAAATCCAGGGTCTCACAGTGTGCTAGGCAAGTGCTCGACCATTGAAATATATCCCAACCCACTTGTTCTTCCAATATTAATCATTACCTAATTTTATGTCAATTAAAACACAGGTATTTTCACAGGACACAGGAAAACTACATGGCAAACAAGAACCTAATACAAACAATGCTGAGCAAAACTGTGAACAGGGATTTTCTTTCTTTTTTTTTTTTTTTAATGCATGGCTATCATTTTCAGAGTACTTATTCTCAAAAACAAGCAATTCTAAACAAGATGATGTTATAGTCTTGTCACACACATGGGGAACTCAAGACGCTTTTGCTATAAGGTCTTCTTAGTAAAACCTCTGATGTGAGGCTATTAGACAAGTTTAGAAGGCAAGTCAGAGAAACAGCCACAATTAGCAAATCAAAAGTTAACAGGCTGACCTGTGTGCGCTAGCTAATAAGCTACAAGTAGCTCCCCAAGCATGTATATACCTGGTGTCTCTTTAGTGAAGAGGTAGTAAAGACTAGTGATCAAACCTACCTATCTGTAACCAGACTTTCTTATTCAAATTTAGTTCTGCCTCTTAGTAACTGTGAGAATCTAGGCAAATTACTTATTTGTGTGCTTTCTATTCTATAAGTTAACATTAGCCCTTGACACACCTTTTACTTTATATGCCCACTGAGTGATCTATCTATTGCCATGGTTATAATCATTTAACATGTGATTGACCAACAGATTTTTATCTCTACTCAAAAACTTTTCTGAAGGAATGGGAATATAGCTCAGAGTACTTGCCTAGCCATTTACAGAGCCCTGGGTTCAATCACCAGCATAGGGGTGAGGGACACTTTTCTTGGATTCTACTCTTATTTATCCAACTATCCACTGGGTTGTCACCATCTGGATAACTTACATGCTTCTCAAACTCACAGTAACCTTAACAGATCTCATTATGGTTCCTTCCAAATTTGTTTGTTTCCCAACCTGATGATGACTATTGCATACAATGTGTTAGAAATTTAGACTTTGGATGTTCTCCTTTCACATGGTTATGATTGAATACTACTGTTTACATCCTCTGCCTTGTTCCCTCTGCCCCCCTTTCCACCAGGGATTGAACCCAGTGAACTTAACCACTGAGCTACATGCCCAGCCCTTTTTATTTTGAGACAAAGCCTTAGTTGCTTAGGGCCTTGCTAAATTGAGGCTGGCTTTGAACCTGTTATTCTCCTGTCTAAGCCTCCAGAGTCTGAGATTATGGGCATGAGCCTCCATGCCCAGCTTGTTTACATTTTTTTATACTATCTCTTTCTTTCCATTGCCACTAATACTGTCTCGGTTTAGATTCTCAGATGTCATTCTCAGTTTAGATTCTCCTTGTTTTGCCCTATTCCTCCCCTTTCAAGCCACTACTATGTGGGTCCCAGTAACTTCTTTACTTAAACAAAAAATTAACCACATTACTTCCCAACTCAAAACCCTTTCAATGGTTCTCAGATATCTAAAAGATAAAAATCTAAACTCTTCTGTATAGCATTTAAGGTCCATAATTTGCTCTCGGTTAACCTCTCCAACTTTATGTTTCACTATGATCTGGTTCACAAACAATACCCTAGTAATCCTGCAGGTTCCAACATGCTGAGGTCATCTCATATCCCTGCTGCTACTAAAAAAAAAAGAATAATTTTCATCCCAACCACCATAACCTGCTTTGAAAATCTCATCCTTCAAGAGTCACCTCCTTTGGGCTGGGTTGTGGCTCAATGGCAGAGCACTTGCCTAGCATATGTGAGGCACTGGGTTTGATTCTCAGCACCACATATAAACAAACAAAATAAAGGTCCATCTACAACTAAAAAAATATATAAAACAGTCACCTCCTCTAAGAAGCTTTTTCTGATACCATTCCCCTCCTCTGTACTCCCAACATACTCTGTAGACATTTTCTATCCTAACACATATAACACTCACACTTTCTTTTTGTGTGTATGGTGCTGAGAACTGAACCTTGCACCCATTAGGCAAGCATTCTACCACTAAGCTACATCCCCATCCATACACTTACATATATATATATATTTTGTTTATAGAGTCTTCAGATGCCTTTTAGGAGCAATAATAAGTTTCTAGCATTTAGCTTAATGCCTAGCAAGTGCTTAACAAAACTTCTGGAAACAGACATCACTAGTTACTAAGGCATTCAACTCAGTCACTTACTCTCCATTATCATCATACTCCTTCACCAGAGATTCAACATTGGTGTGTGCAAATCGGTAGTTATCCCTCAAGTTGTTGGCTGCTTTTAGGAACTCAGAGTGCGCGTCACTGAATAAATCCTTGAAAAAACCTACATATAAAATGTCAAACAGAAAAAAAAAAAAAAAAAAAAACAGTTAAGTGCTGAGAGATATTCAAGACTTTTATTTATTTGCTTGTTTATTCATTTTTGTGGTGTTGGGGACTGAAGCCAAAGGCCTGGCACACTCTAGGCAAGTGCTCTACCACTGCACATGCCCAGCCCAAGACTGAAATTCCAATTTTCAAAGCATTCATTCTACTACAGATAAGCAAAAGTGAAAAGAACCGGGTCTGGGGCTGGAGTTGTGGCTTAATGGTACAGCACCTGCCTAGCATGTGTGAGGCCCTGGGTTTGATTCCTATCACTGCATATAAATAAATGAATAAAATAAAGGTCCACCAACATCTAAAAAAAATATTAAAAAAAAAAAGAACCAGGTCTGCTTTGTGATGGATATATGATACAATATTCAGCATGAGAATTCTTCCCCCACCCTATAAAGAAACATTTTTGAGAGCCCAGGGAAAGGATTTGTCAGGGTCCAAGTCTTCATTCTACTTTTCCAAATTGAATAAATCTGAGCAAATTGCTTAATTTTTCTGGAACAATATCAGGTATCAGAAGGATTAGATTAGAAAATGATGTCAAAATAAAACACTTATTTTTCCTTTCTATGTCTTGCCTTTAAAACTTAAGTCTAGAAAAGTGATTGAAACATAAAAATCTAATAAATGCCTACTTATTGTTATCTCCTTATTCAGATAAATGGTAAAACCCAGATAAAATGGCTTGGCTTTTACTCAAATTTAAATGATAAATCAGAAAGTTATTTTATTACAGTAATAGGAGATCAAGAGAAGCACAAACACATTGTATACATATTTTAGTTTTCAGCAAAATGTATCATATGTCATATTTAAAAATAAGAGCAAGACCAGTCACTCTTTTCTCTTTGGCTTCCTGTGCACCATGAGATCTCTCTAAAATGGCCATGAACATATATGACAAATCCTAGTAATCTGCATCTTAAAATTTTAACTCCCCTATTATTGTGAAAATAGCATACGTGAGTTATTTATTTCCCCTTTCCTTAAAACCTTATTTTCAGTCATACCTACCTACATAAGAGTTAAATCTCAGAGTTTAAAGAAGTGTGATGCTAAGCACCTTGCAATACCAGCTACTCTTGATTGGGGACTGAGACAGTATTGGGGTTTCAGGGCAGAATGGGCAACATAGTAAGAACTGTAATCCCTGCCACCTCTCAAAAAGCCAGTCATAACAGCTTTTTCTCCCATATTATGGTAATGATACAATTCTATCAGCTATTCATCTTTTCAGCTGCCCCTACATTTCCTCCCCTGTTCTAACCTGTAATGGAGACTGAACCCAGGGGTACTCCATCACTGTCCTACATTCCCAATCCTTTATATCTGGCAACAAGATTTTGCTACATTGCTAAGGCTGGCCTCAAGCTTGTGATCCTCCTGCCTCAGTCTCCCAAGTAGCTAGGACCAAGTTGATGATTTTGTGGCATAATTAAATATTTGCTACTTACCCACCACAGAGGCATCTTTATCACTAATGAACTTCTTAAATTCTTCCTCAGTCCTAAGAGGCACTGAAGCGGGTCCTGCCTGCTTCTTCAGGTGGCTGACAATTCCATCTTAGAAGATGAAAGTTATAGAAATACAATTTATTTGTAATTTTTGAGAAGGCAATTATTTATTCATACAATTCAAAATGTATAAAAGGGGGACACAATGGAGTTTTTTTTTCCCCACCCTTGTCCCTAGTCACCCAGTTTCTTCCATAACCTTCTAAATTTTCTTTTTTTTTTTAATGAGAAAACAGAAGCACAGGGAATGTGTTGTATATGGTGGTGATCAGAGCAGCACTCACTTGCCAAAACTCAGTGGACGAAGCACTTTTTTATATTTTTTTCGGCGGACACAACATCTTTGTTTTGTATGTGGTGCTGAGGATCGAACCCGGGCCGCACGCATGCCAGGCGAGCGCGCTACCGCTTGAGCCACATCCCCAGCCCTGCACTTTATTTTTTAAATCAATCTGTCTATTTTTGTGGTGTTGGGGATCAAATTCAGACATGCTAGGCAAGTGCTGTCCTCTGAGTTATATCCTCAGCCCCTTTCAAGCATCTTATGCATAAATAAGCAATTACACATTTATTCTTTTTTCTCTCAAAATGGCAACATATACATAAGCTATTCTTTATTTTTTTGGTTTGTATGTAACACAGTTTAGACATAATTGACATCAATACATAAAGAGCTACCTCAACCTTTTATTAGTTACATTGTGTTTCACAGAATGGATGTACTATAACTTATTTAACCTGCTACAAATAATGGAAATTTGTTTCCAATCTCATGCTATTACACATGATTCTGTGATAAACAACCTTGTAGAGGCTGGGCATGGTGGTGCACACCTGTAAATCCAGCAGCTCTGAAGGCTGAGGCACTAAGCAACTCACTGAGACCCTGTCTCTCTAAAGAAAATACAAAATAGGGCTGGAGATATGGTTCGGTGGTTGAGTGCCCCTGAGTTCAATTCCCAGTACCAAAAAAAAAGACTATATTTGCAGGGCAAATTCCTGTAAGTGGATTAACTGGGTCAAAGTGTGTAAGTATTTATAGTTGTTAAAATGCCCTCCAAAGAGATTCACGTATTATTTTTAACTTATACTATCAAGTAAATTCTAGTGCCTACCACATAAAACGAACAAACAAATCCATATTATCAAGCAATGCATAGTCACCTGTAACCTTACATTTTCAAAGCAAAAAATGCAGTGACTTGGCTAGCTATGTTGAAATCTAAATACATACATTAAAACATACACACAGGTTGTGTATATAGCTTAGTGTTAGAGCATCTGCCTTGCATGCCTGGGGCACTGGGTTTGACCCCGGCACACCCCCACCCCTGCACCCATACACCCCTAGTAGACAGATCCATACACCCACACACACCCTTAGCAGACAGACCAAAAGGTCATTATTCCACTTCCTCCTAGGGTCCACTGAAACCATTTACAAATACAAACATAGGCCAGATGTGCTACTCCTCCATGATATTCTATCTCTTTACCCCTTTCTTTTCTAAGTACTATCATGATTTCCAAACTAAGACAGTACCGTTTAACTCTTTCAACATGACTGAGCCTGTTCTGTACTTCTAAATTACTTTTTCCTTTCATCTTCTTCCATTTATAGATATTTCAAAAAAGTTTCCCTCAGGTTTTATCAATAGATTAGTTGAAATTGGATTGAATTATTTAGTCCTCAAGGTAGTTGCCATCAGTATATCAGAACATAAACTATAATAAACTGAACATCTAAAATTCTCTGGAAGGCAAAATGGGAGTGCTGAGTAATTAGTTTAAGCAGGAAGCAAAGAGCAAGGTTCTTAGCGGTGCACATGAACAAAACAATCCCTCTTGGCTAAAGACTTTATAAATAAGTAGTCAAACATCTGACCTCCTGGTTAGATGTGGAGACATTCTCCAGTTTAAGAACCCTATGTTAAAGCCCAAGTGAGAATATTTACCTAGCAGCATTGTGGCTGGATCCATCTACAGTTAGTTAAGACCTGACCAAGTTCTGAAAAAAATATATCAATAACTCTATTAGCCATACCTTTGATTAAACTGGTAAAAGCTGAATGTTAAAAATTTGAGTGTTGGGCTGGGGATATAGCTCAATTGGTAGAGTGCTTTCCTTGCATGCATAAGGCCCTGGGTTCAATCCCCAGCACCATGGAGAGAAAAAAAAGTGATTTCAGTTGGGCCAAAATACTTATTCAAGCATTCAGCAAAGAGTTATTAAGTGTCTGCTATATGTGAAGAGTCTATGTGCTGGGGACAGAACTGTAAACAAATCAAAGGTTCTGCTTTATTGAACCTGACAATATAGTAAGTTCCAAATAAATATGCAATTAAAAAAAAAAAAATCAGATAGTAGTCAGGTGTGGTGGTGTAAATCTGTAATCCCAGAGACCTGAGATGACATTCTCAGTAATTTAGCAAGACATTGTCTAAAAAAAAAAAAAAAAAAGGAGCGGAGCTGGGGATGTGGGGATGTAGCTCAGTGGTAAAAACACTCTTGGGTTCAATCTCCAGTGCCAAAAATAAATTTAAAAAATCAGACAGTAACCAGTGCTATGCAGAGAATTAAGAGGTTGATGACCCCCCCTCACCTCTACTGAGGACTGAACTCAGGAGGCTCTCCACCACAGAGCCACACTTCCAGCTCTTTTTATTTTGAGACAAGGTCTCAACAATGTAACTGAGGCTGGCCTAGAACTTGTGATCCTTCTGACTCAGCTTTCCAAATTGCTGGGATTATAGACATGTGCTGTAAACATCTGGCCAGGGTCCATGTTTGTACATGAATGAAATTCCCTATCTCCTAAAATCCCCAAACTCCTTTCTTTAGCCTTTCATTATGAAAAGGTAAAATATACATACAATTATGTAATAAACTCAAGCTGAAATTGTATTTGATGATATAAGATTATTTTGTTCTCCTTAACTGTGAACTCTACAGAATTGAGCTCCCACTTAACCTCTCAAACTTCACCTCTCATCCTTGCTAATCACATTCTGACCACATGGTATTTCTAGGTCTTCAACCCAGCAATTTTAGTCATGTATTATATAGCCTCTTTGTACCTGCTTTCCCTGTGCTTAAAAAGCTCTGAGATCTTCTCATGGGTGGCTCCTTCCTATCAGGTTTCAGCTCAAAGGTTTCTTCCCTGACCACCCTATTATGCAGTTCTCCCATCCTCAATCACTATCACATAGTCTGGTTTTATTTTTTCCCTTTAATGCTCTCATCACTAATTCAATTTATTCCATCTACGCATATTCTTGACTTCTTAAACTGTTACATAACATACATAAAATTCACCACCTTAACCATTCTTAAGTATACAGTTTTGTGGCGTTAGGTACATTCACACCGTTGTACAACCAGGTCTCACACATTCTAAGCAAGTATTCTACCAGTTAGCTATACTCCCTCTCTCATGTATATATATAGTTGTAGATGGACACAACATCTTTATTTTCTTTTTTAATTAATTAATTAATCAATCAATTAACGTGGTGCTGAGGATCGAACCCAGTGCCCCACTTGCTAGGCAAGTACTTTACCACCAAACCACAACCCCGTCACCCCCAATCTTTTTTTTTTTAAATAATAATCTTAATGGGGTGTGAGACGAGATGGTCATTCATATACATTTTTAGAACTTGTTTATTGCTTTCTTCCCTTTATCACTCCCAGAATGTAAAGCACCACAAAAGTAGGGAGTTTGTTTGTTTTGTTTACAAATACCAAGTACCTAGTACATATAGAATATCTGACATCAAGTAGGTACCCAATAAATATGTATCAAATGAAAAAAGGCCTAGCTGACCTTATATCTCAAGTTCAAGTATCTTCTACAGTACTTACAGAATCTATTCAATCTATTCAGATAGTTGTTTTTTTTTTTTTGGGGGGGGGGTTACCTACAGAAGTGCTTTCTTAAATAAGGAATTTTTAAGAGTGAAAGTATGTTATGTAAAAAAATATTCTCATGTTTCTACTATCAAAAACAAGGTATTTAACAAATTCAGTTTCCAGGATATAATCCAGGATCCTTACCAGCAGTCCTAGGCCCATCATAAGCACCTGCTTCTTCACCATCTCTAAATATCTTCAGGGTTGGATAGCCACTGACTCCATACTTATTACAGGTCTCTGTGTTGGCAGTGCAATCAACCTAAAGATTAAAAAACATACTTGTATTCCCAAAATATTAGGACTGTCAAGTCATTAGAATATTAAGCAATTCTTGGCATATATACCACAGAACATTGGATCTTAAAGGCACACTAGTGCTGGTCAAGAAGCAAGTATTGATAAGTATAGTTTAGATTCCTAAGATTCCTACAAAATACTTAAAGTACTATTTAAATTTTGCCCTTGGAGTCTCTGTTGTCTAAAGCAGTGGCCTCTACCTTTTTTTCTGCCTCAAAACAGGTGAGAAACAAAAAAAATCACTTTCATAGTCACACAAAGCAGAAATTAAATTGTGATTAAACTTTCCCCCCCATGGCAAGCTGCTTGGTTTCAGGATTAAAAGCAGTTTCCAGAAACAGCCTTATAGATGAATGTGTATTTGAGACTGGCAGAAATATGAGCTTTTAGAGTAGAACAACTGTGAGTTTACTACAGAAGAATGGCAAGTTCATGAAGCATTACTTTAACTGTAAAAAACAAATACCAAGTTTACAGTTGACTAATTGGTTACATATCATCAATAGCCCCATGCCATTTTCCTACTCACTATGAATACCATATGGCAGTTTAGGGAACTCATTTACTCAATAATTTTCCTTTAACCTTTATAGTTGTACTTATACTGTCCATATTTGCTCCTAATTCCTATTTATCATATAGTTTCTCTCTTTCTTTTCAGTACTAGGGACTGAGTCTGGGGTGGTTCACATTTCTAGCCCTTTTTATTTTGAAATAGGATCTATCTAAGTTGCCCAGGATGGCCTCAAACTTGTGATTCTCTTACCTTAGTCTTCCGAGTAACTGGGATTACAAGTGTGTGCCACTATACCTAGTTGCCCTATAGTTTATTTCTTATGCCAATAATTTCCTTAGTCTCATTTTTATTTTTTTGAAACTATACAATAGTCAGGCATTTGTCCAGAAACTAATATTCACCCTTCTTAGCACCATAAGAGTACAGAAAGTGAATGCTAATTGTATACACTATTATTTAAAATACTTTATATCCTTTAAGGAAAAATCCGCCTTTACTCACCTTTGCTAGTGGAACTATTCCTTTTAATCTGGTAGCTGCAGCTTCATACTCAGGAGCAAGCCTTTTGCAATGTCCACACCTACATAAATGTAAAAAAGCCATTTTCAATTTAATGCTACAATTTTTTTTAATGTCTCTCTAGGAAGAATCTCAAACTATAACACAATTTTTGAACTATCAGATACTTCCAAAAGCAAAAATATCACACCCAAACGTTATCATTATTGCTAAAGTAAACCAGAGCTCTCAGAAGATAAAGGTCTTATGTAAAGCCCAGGTAGACTCTTTAGCACTGGCTCAGTGCAAGGGCAGCATCTATTTTCTGAAGTGAAAGTATATTGAGCCAGGCACCGTGGTACATACCTACAACCCTACCAGGGAAGCAAGAGAATCACAACTTCAAGGGCAGCTTGGGCAACTTAGCAAAACTCTGTTTTAACAGGGCTAGCTAGGGATGTAGCTCAGTGGTAGCGTGTCCCTGGGTTAAATCCCCAAGGTGGTCAAAAAAAGAGTTCTGGAAACTACAGTCAGAAGTGTATCTCACTTTCCTTTATCCCAATAGCTGCTGCCATGAAGGTCGAGCTGCGCAGTTTTAGCGGGTACAAGATATACACTAGACACGGGAGGTGCTACACCAGGACTAATGGAAAGGTTTCCCAATTTCTTAATGCAAAACATTTCCTAACCAAGAGGAATCCTCGGCAGATAAACTGGACTGTCCTCTACAGAAGAGAGCACAAAAAGGGCCAGTTGGAAGAAATCCAAAAGAAGAGAACCCAACGGGCAGTCAAATTTCAGAGGGCCATCACTGGTGCATCCCTTGCAGATATCATGGCCAAGAGGAATCAGAAACCAGAAGTTAGAAAGGCTCAACGAGAGCAAGCTGCCAAGGAAGCAAAAAAGGCTAAGCAGGCATCTAAAAAGATGGCAATGACTGTTGCTAAGGCTCCCACAAAGGCAGCACCTAAGCAAAAGATTGTGAAACCTGTGAAGGTTTTTGCTCCCCGAGTTGGTAGAAAACACTAAATTGGCAGATGAGATTTTAAAATAAAGATGTGTTTAATAACTTATATGGTGTTGAATTTTTGCTCCCAAAAAGGCATGTTGGGTCTACATGGTAATAGGTGTTCGGTAAAGTTGAGAATTTAAGACAATTTCAAATTCATTTCTTGGGGCTGGGGGTATAGATCAAAATTGTAGAGTGTTTGGTTAGCATATACATGCTCTGGGTTTGATTTCCTGCGCCAAAATAAAATGAAAGTTCATTTCAGGAATAATGCCTTCTGATGTAACCCTTTTAATTGGAGAAATGTTAAAATAAGGCAATAAAGATGTGTGGTTGAATGCTTAAAAAAAAAAAAAAAAAAGAAGTATACCTTACACTAAAGACAGAAAGGTTTCAAGCCTATTTGACCAACTAATGAGGTTAAAATGAAACCAATAATTCCATTTTCCCTTAGGAACCAGCATTTTGGTTCTTAATAAAGTGATTGAATCTTTAAGAACTAACATGCTGGGCTGGGGTCGTGGCTCAGTAGCAGAGCGCTTGCCTAGCATGTGTGAGGCACTGAGTTTGATCCTCAGCACCACATAAAAATAAATAAAATAAAGGTCCATTGACAACTTAAAAAAAAAAAAAGAAAAGAAAAAGAAAAAAGAACCAACATGCCCGTAATCCCAGCTACTCAGGAGGCTGAGGCAAGAGGATTACAAGTTAGAGGCCAGCTGGGAAACTTAGGAAGACCCTGTCTCAAAATAAAATAAAAAGGGGTAGAATGCTTTCCTAGCCTGCACAAAGGTCCTTGATTTAAATGGAGTAATAGAGGGGTGAGGATGGGGCATGCAGCAACAAATGATTTTTCTCCATTTTCAATGACTCTTTTTGACCAGAAATATAGTTTGAGGGGTAATGGAAAACAGGGCCCAAAGGGCACTGGTATAATATTAATAGGTACTCTATTGGCTTACCAGAGGCCTACTTCTTGTCAACTGACTTTCAACACAGCATTAGAATGATATATTTAAGATGGCAAGCCTGATTTTTAGTTACACGATTCACCTGTCCATGAGAACCTATAAAAGCATGTAAACCAGACTATTTTTCCAAGAGGGCCACCAGAAGCACCTGGTCCAGAAAGTCCTAACAAGTCCCACAGGTGCACTGTACATGCAATGGTATAATATATTCTTATGAGTGCACAACAAGCACCAGCTGTACATCATCTTTTCAAAAGCCCATGGGTTGCATAGGGATCATTTTGAGAACATTAAGAAGTTCTGTAACCTCCCCAAGACAGCAAAAATAAAAAACAGAAGGAAAAATTAGGGAAAAGACATGAGCTGATATATTATACTCCTAAAACTGTTTATGACAAAGGACTGTAAGAGCTTATATTCTCTAAGATCTTCAGAAATCCTATTCAAAATCTATTATGGGAGAGTTTAAGCAAAGGAACAGTGATGAAAAGGAAGATTGTTAATACTTCATGCTCTAGGATCACATACATATTTACTAAAAGTATAAAAGGACTAAATGATAAACACCAAATTCAGAATAGGGGAGGCATTAGACGGGGAAAAAGTACACAGGGGGTCTCAACTGTACTGACTTTGTTTTTAGACTGAGTGGTCTTCTCAACTGAGTTTCAGTACAGCATTGTATAAAGAATAGTATATTAAGAAAAAAATGATATTTATTTCTCTCTCTTTTTTTTTGGTAGTGCTGGAGATTGAACCCAGGGCCTTGTGAATAGGTAAGCACTCTATCAACTGAGCTATTTCCCCAGTCCCAAGCTATTTCTTATATAGTATTTTACAGATGCATTTTTTTAAAATTGAGATGTGTCTTACATTCATATAATACTTTCAATGGCAGCATTTCTTTCTCAGTGAGGCATAATGGTTCCTCTCTCAATCAGTCCTGATGTATTTGAAGTATGTCATTTACTATATCCTTTGTATTCCTCTAATCTTCAAATAAACTAAAAATTAGTGTACTTGGGTGATAACCCAAGCACACAAATTCCAATTAATTCAATGTAATAAATAACCAGGTTTGGTGGAACATAATAAGCATTAAAAGGTTTTAGGAATGCATTTCAGTAGCACATGCACTTAAAAAGCAGCATCTTAAAGAGTGTGGGGCCAGACACAGTGGTGCACTCTGATAATCCCAGTGGCTCAGAAGGCTAAGGCAGGACTGTAAAATTGTGGCCAGCCTAGGCAACATCCCTATCTCAAAATTAAAAAATTAAAAGGGCTAGGGATATACCTCAGTGGAAAAGTGCCCCTGGGTTCAATCCCCAGTAATAAGAAAATAGAGGAGGAGATGATGTCTTCAGAGAACTATGAAGACTCTTTTTGAGAGCTAATAAATGTGAACGTATGTACGCGTATAATGACTATATAAGCAACATATAGGACTGACAAGAAGGGAAAAATTAGAGGGAAGAATAGAGCCACCTAGCTGGGTGTGGTGGCATAAACATAATCCCAAGGACTTGGGAGGCTGAGGCAGTAGGATCTCATGTTCAAGGCCAGGCTCAGCAACTCAGTGAGACCCTGTCTCAAAATAAAAAAAATAAAAAGGGATTGGGGATGTGGCTTAGTGGTCAAGCACTCGTGGGTTCAATCCCTAGTCCCAAAAATAAAAGAATAGAGCCACCTAGAAGATAATATATTTCACACAGTAAATAATGAAATGAGAATAAAGAGATAGAGGAGAGGTTTCTATTGACTTTCTATTGTAGTAATTGTCAAGGTTAAATCAATAGTTAGTAATTTCACCTCAACTTCTTCAAACATATGAAGAGGGAAAAAAAATCATACAAAATAGCTATTAGGTTAGACCAGTTGGTGTCAACCCTACATGCATATCAAAAAATATTCATGGAACATTAAAATAAAAAATTATGCATGACTGACAATGAGAAATCCCATGGATGTAGGGAAAAAAACCAGGTGTATGTGGGAGTTGCAAGGTCGGGACAAAAAGCCACTGCTCTAAGCATCAGCAATATCCTTAAGTTCAACAAATGCACAAAGGGTGTTCCCATGAGGTTGACAGAGATTGCCTTCTTCAATTTGACAGGAATGTAAATCAGGTAGAATTTATGGAAAATTAGAGTTACACAGACCTGTCAAGATTTACCACTATCTTTTCCATTCATCTCTAGGCAATATTAAAACAAAGAATCCACCTACCCTCAGGGATGGCACCTAGCAATGATAACGAATTCCAACATATATTCACCTGACAATCATTATTTCATGCCTGTCATGTGCCAGATGCTATTATTTTAACATTTGATAGATAAATCCATTTAGTTCTTTCCCTATAGGAACACCAGTCTGGTTGAAGGATCAACTGGTTAGTTGTCCAGGGAAGGAAAGAGTAACTTATAAGCTAAATATCAATTTTGAAAAGTTTAACTGGGGGTTGGATCAAGTAAGAAATAAGCATATATAAAAACAAATATTAAGGTCAGAATGATGGTGCACACCTGTAATCCCAGATACTTGAGAGGCTGAGGCAGGAGGATCACAAGTTCAAGGCCAGGTCAGGCAATTTAGGAGATCTTGCCTAAAATAAAAAAGGGCTGGGGGTATGTAGTTCAGTGGTAGAGCACTTGCTTAGTGTGCATGAGGCCCCAGGTTCAATTCCCAGCCACATGCACAAATGTATTTCACTTTATTTTATCCATATAATTCTATTCCCAGGGCTGGGGATCAAAACTCATGCATGCTAGGTAGGCAAGTGCTTCACCACGGAATTATATTCTCAGCCCCACATATCCTTTTCTGTACTCTAGAAACATTGTATATTAAATATCATTTTTTATTACTAGTGTTAGAAAATAGTAGAGCTAGTTGAAGATGTGGTTTAGTGATAGAGCACTAGTCCAGCACCAGCAAGGCCTTAGGTTCCATCCCTACCACTGCAGGGAGATTAAAAAGTCTGGAGGAGCTGAGTGGGGTACAGTGGCATCCACCTGTAATCCTAAGGGCTTGGGAGACTGGGAGGCCAAGGCAGGAGAATTAGCAGTTCAAAGCCAGCCTCAGCAAACAGTGAAGTGCTAAGCAACCCAGTGAGACCCTGTCTCTAAATAAAATACAAAATAGAGCTGGGGATGTGGCTCATTAATTGAGTGGTCTGGAGTTCAATCTCCAGTATACCCCCTCCCAAAGTTTAGAGGGTAGCACAAAAATCTACAACATAAGTAGATGTTCAGGATTTAAAATTAATACTGCTCAATATATTTTTAAAAATTATTACATTCAATAAGGCTATTATTTATCCTTCCCCTGGAAAAATTCAGATAATCCTATCCTTATAAATGTATACATGACTAACTTCATAATGGAAACCTTAGTCTACAAAGAAAACTTCAACAAAATCTTTCACTTTCACTTGTAAAATGAAAATGGAAGAAAACCTAAAGATAAAAAGAACTTGCTCACAATAGGCTTATTTTACTTTTTAATTTTTTTAGTTGTTGATAGACCTTTATTTTAATCATTTTCATTTATATGCGATGCTGAGAATCGAACCCAGTGCCTCACACGAGACACAAGTACTCTACACTGAACCACAACCCCATCCCTTATTTAATCTTAATAAACATTTCCAGCTGATATATTAATAAATAAAATAGGAGGAAATGAAGACATTATCAACAGAAGACTTCCTTGACTCCAAATCACTCATTCAGAAAGCTGATCCTTCTTGCTGATATTGTGGAGGATGACCTTATCTTTTAAACCAATTAAAAGCAGACACCACAGCAGATATCCATTCCAATTCTTGGGACAGTTTAGTGCATTATGGGATATGTAGTTTTAAGGGAAGCACGTGCAACACTTTAAAATAGAAAAGAATGCCTTTAATTGGAAAATTTTAAAATTTTGCTTTAAACTAATAGCCTGATGGCCCACAATTCTCCAACAATTCCTGAACTGTTATACCACCCCTAGAGTTAAAAAAACTACCCATGACATCCCCTCAAACTTAATAGGATGATTATATAATTAAGAAGAGACATTTTTAAAGGAGAACATGAGTTCTAGAGACAATATCTATAATATGTGATCAGTACTGTCAGCCACAAGAATGCCCTGGACACAAAATTTGTCACAGGCTGAAAATATAATTGGACACCTCTAACACACCCTTCTGAATCAGGTGGTCTTTACTTTTGAGTGTAACCCTGAAAAAAGTCAGCCAAGCTGGAGGAGTGAAGACCCAAATCAGAAGCAAGTAAATGTTACACACTAACTTTGTATTTCTGATGCTTTTGAATAGTCTTTAACTAAGGGTCATTGTGCCAGGAGGGGAAAAATTAAGTACTGTAATTGGCATGGATGCACTGGGCTTTAAAACAATTCTGGTTTGCTCTGATAAGGATATGAAAGTTACCACCACCACCACCACTCAGGATGACAGGGCCTGAAATTCTATTTGCTCTCCCTTACCCTCAAGTAAGATTTTTTATTTTAGATCTACTCTAAGGAATCCACACTCTTATTGGGGTTAAGTCACCCTGAAACCGGAGTATTTCTCTAACACTGGCTACTATTTCAGAAATCCTAATTAAAACCTATAATTTGGTCAGATTCTGATGGAAATTATTCTTGTTCATCCAGCCTTTCTTTTTGACAGAGACCTCTGCCAGTGCTGAAAAATAAATGATGAGTTTAATGTAAAAACTGTATGAAATAGATAAAATAATTGCCTGCTTCAAGAAAGCACTTCTGACCATTCTGCAACCCCACTGACTGATTGACCTTGGCTAGAAACCAACAGTCGTGGGGCGAGGGGCTAGAAGAAAGGAAATAGCCTGGGGCCCAGGACCTCTGCACTTACTGAACCCGTCCTTTCTCTACCAGGCTTTGGGATGCCTCGTCTGCAGAGTGGAGAGCTTTTACACTGACTCACCTAAAGACTGAAGATACGAGTGGAGGGGGAGGGGATGGTTAAACCCTCTGCAAATAGGAAGTACCGCAAGAGCGCGGAGGTATGGATGTGGCCCTGTGCGAGAGGCACCTCCGGATTTTCCTTCCGGGGTCCCGTTCCCAGGCGATCCACGGCCACTTCTCCGCTTTCGACAAAGCACCTTCCAGCTTCCCGGGGATAGGAAACTGGCCGGTTGCAAACTGGCCCGCTGGAATGATGGAGGACGCCGACGCTGCTTAGGCCCTACCATTCCGCGCCCTGCCCCCGGCCCAGCCGGCCATCCCTCCCACCCCAGCAAAGTGGCCTCACCAGGGCGCGAAGAACTCGACGAGCATGAGGCCCGCAGAGCCCGTGTCGGAGATGCGACTCTCGAAGTTGGCGTCCGTGAGTTCCAGCACGTCGGAGGCAGCAGCAAGGCGGGCCGCGGCTAGGAGAAGCGCCACACCCGGGAACGGCGCTAGGCGGCGGAGGCGCATGGCGGCGAAGTGAGGCGAGGGCGGCCGGGAGGGTCGGGGCTCGGCGGGGACTGCGGAGATCGAGCCGACTACCACGCACCGGCTGCCTGTGCTCGCGCGTCTAGCCCAAGCGGACCTGCAGCCGGAGGTCCCAACCCCCTAGCCCGGCTCGGGCCGCAGTGTGGCAGTCGCTGATTGGCTTCCTGGTGTCTGCGTCGGGCGGGCGGGACCAGCTGGTAACTGCCGAGTGGCTGGAGCGCGGGGCGGGGCCGAGGCTGCAAGCACAGCGGCAGGGGCGGGGCCCGGGGCGGGCAGGATCTTGGGGGTCTGCAGGAAAGGCGGCGCAGCGAGTCTGGGGCTCGGCCCGGAGAGGGTCCTTCGTGGGGGAACCAAGTTCTGAGGGCTCAGGAGCCGGAGGCCGGGGAGTGAATTCCGGGTTGAGTGGGCGGAAGGGAGCCTGGGTTGAGGTGAGGCCCAGCAGCGGGAATTGAGAGAAAGAGCTGGCCCCTAAGGGACCGTTGGAGTGGACACACGCGGCAGGACACATTTTCAAAAGTCAGATTTTTGCATTGTCCAATTCCTCATCATTTATTTATTTATTTGGGGGGGGGGCAACCACCTACGCCCTCACTCCGCTCCACCTCATTGCCTGATTCCCTCAGTCCAGATGGGTCCTGGATACTTTGTCCATCCTGAGGGCCCCTGCCCTGGTGGCTGCTGCTTTTTTTTTTTTTTTAACTGAATAAATTTAGACAAGTTTTTTATTAGAAATGCTGTTAGAAAACGAAGTTGTCTGGACACCTGGTTGACTACGCAGTATCTCTGACGACTTCTATTCTCTTTTGTTTAAATCAAACCATGAGTCTTAGTGAATTTGTTCTCACTGTTAGTAGTTCCTAGATTTGAGCTTGTTAAGATCTCTTAAAGGCAAAAAGGGTAAAGAAGAGGAGCAAAAACCCTCTAGTACTGGTGCAACTTCTAGAATGAAATAACCCTTGATTCTTCTGTTTTCTTAACAGACATGGCTACTGATTACCAAGCAGGGCACATGCAACTGCCCAGAGCTGATGCCATTCGTTCGCGTCTCATCGATACTTTCTCTCTCATAGAGCATTTGCAAGGCTTGAGCCAAGCTGTGCCTCGGCACACTCTCCGGGAGATACTTGGTCAGCTATTTCTTCGTTACACTTAGTTTAAGACTCCTGTCTTCATTCTCCAGAGTAGGAAGCAGAGAAATTTAAGGGTAGAAAATTAAGGGAAGTTTGTTTCGTTGCTGATTTGGAGGCTACACTTGATAAATTATCAAGGGTTGTATAAATAAAACTTTGAATCCAGGAAATAGAGCCCATGTCACTCCCTTTTAGGCTATTAGCTTTGACTAACTTTGAAAAGTTTCTCACCAAAGACACTTTGAGTTGAAACTGCTGCTTTCATTCTTGGGCATGGTCAGTGTTGGTCTTAAGCCATATGTTAATTCTCACCCCAAACTAACAAGATTTTTATTTGCTGTGAGAAGGAGCAACTGCAAGGCAAGTCCTTGTACTATAAAACCCATTTTCCGATCAATCTCCCTACGTCCAACCCTCCTTTTCATAACCCCAAAGAATTTCCTTTATGTTTGTCCACTCCCCTTTTTTGGATAGACTCTTGCTGGTTGGCCTTTAACTCCTGGACTCAAGATTCTCACCCTTCAAGTAACTGGGACTAATGTAACTGATGTGATTCTGCAATCTGTGTATGGGGTGAAGGTGGGAGTTCATAACCCACTTGAATCAAAGTGTGGAATATGATATGTCAAGAAATTTGTAATGTTTTGAACAACCCACAATAAAAAAAAAAAAAAGTAACTGGGACTAGAGGCATGTGCTATCCCTTTTAAAATTTTTGTTATAGATCCTTCCCTTCAGAAGAAACTTTTGCTGGGAGATCAGCATCAGCTAGTGCGAATATCCATAAAGCCTCGACATGTAGGACGAATTTCACATGCCCAGCGAATGATGAGCAGGTTGCGTGTGCGCTGCAGTCAGAGGCCACCTCTTTCCTTGTGGGCTGGATGGGTTCTTGAGAGTATCCTTTATGTCTCTGTTTTTTATGCATAATAATTTGCCATCTGTGTATGATTTCTTTTTCCCGACCCCAAATACCATTTTCATTGTATCTAACGGTATCTATATATATATTTATATATCCCTACCCAGGTCCTCATGCTGTATCTTATGTTCTTGCTGTTATTATTTCAGTTCCGTAAATCTGAAAGAACTCCATTTTATGTTTCCTTAAGAGAAAATAGGTTCTGTCTTCACAAATTTCATCATCTTCCTCATCTTCCTGAATACAATCGTACTAATGGTTGAAATAGGTGAGAACTGATACTGAAAGAGGAAGTGGGTGGGAGGTATTTTCTTTTAAATTGATCATTTTACCTTTTAAAACATTGTTTGAATTGTGATAGGGACAATTCTATTAAGCCCTCTGGAATAGATTTTGTAGAGCTGCTAAGATCTAGAAACATTTGGAGGGTTCTCAGGGTACTAGGTTCTCAGGGTACTAGTAGTAGACACAGGGTAGTCTAGACACTTAAAGGTAGGGTGTAATATGTAGCAATGTGACAAATCCACAGTGAGCTGGAGGTGGGAACAAAACACCTGGCAATTGGCTTACTTTTAAAAATAATTTTCATATTTTGTTTCTAAATGATGAGAGAGAGCTAGGGCGTGGTGGTGCACACCTGTAATCCCAGAGTCCCAGAAGAATGAGTTAGGAAGATTGCAAGTTCAAAGCCAGCCTCAGCAATGGCTAGGCACTAAGCAACTCAGTGAGACCCTGTCTAAATAAAATACAAAATAGGCCTGGGGATGTGGCTCAGTGGTTGAGTGCCCTTGAGTTCAATCTCCAGTACCAAATAAATAAATAAACAGACAAATAAATAATGAGAGAGAAAAAAGAAAATATTTGGCTCATTTACAATTCTTACTCTGAAAATAATACGTTGCCACCATGGATAATCCTTATTTCCAATTAGAAAATAAATGTAGCATCATTACAGTTTCGTTGACATTGATGTTTAAAGTTTTAGAGACAGCTTGATGTGCTGTATAAAATTTTTCATTGTGTGAGTGCACTTTATGGAATCTAATGAACATCATGATGACATAAACTTGCAGAATTATTTTCTTCTTTTTTTTTCTTTCATGGTATCCAGGGACACTTAACCACTGACCCACATCCCCAGCCCTTTTTTAATGTTTTATTTAGAGACAGGGTCTTACTAAGTTGCTGAGGCCAGCTTTGAACTCACGATCCTCCTGCCTCAACCTCCTGAGCCACTGAGATTATAGGCTGTGAGCCACTCTCAGTTTATTTGCTGTTTTGAGAGAGGGTCTCAATAAATTGCCTAGGGCTTCCTTAAGTTGCTGAGGCTGGCTTTGAACTTGCAATCATCCTGCCTCAGCCTTCCCTGGTGCTGGGATGACAGGTGTGTATCACTGCACCTGGCTCTTATGCTCTTCTTATCTTTATTTTGTTTATTTGTTTTTATGTGGTGCTGAGGATCGAATCTAGTGCCTCACATTGCAAGGAAAGCACTCTGCCACTGAACCACAACTCCAGCCCTCTTATGCTCTTCTTAAAGTTGTACTTTTCGGCATCAGTGTTCCTTACTTAATTGTAGATATCATTAGCTAAAATGTTCCTAAAAACAATGAAAATTTTAAACTATATAAGTGTCAAAATCTATACAGTTTGTGTTGTTCAGGGTGATTAAGTATGTTCTGATCTTCTTTAACTGCCAGGTATATCAATCAGAACATTTGATGTTCCTTGGATGGTTCTGTTTTAGAGGGGAATGTATTTAGTTACTAAAGAATAAATATGGGAATTAAAGTAGAGCCCATAACACCTTTAAAATCACTAAACTCTGGAACACCTTCAAGAATTCCCAAGGTACTGTCATGTAACAAAAAAGAATTTTCAGGGGTTTGCAAACTTGTTTGAAAATGCTTTCTAGTTGAAAAAAATCCTGAGATGCAGAAAGATAAAACTTTCAAGGTCATTCATCTAGAAGCTGGTGGAGATTACTTTCAAACCCAGGTATCTGGCCCTGAAATTTTTTCCTTGAATTCAGCCTGAAATTCTGAATACCGGTTGTTATATCAAACGTATGTCCCTATACCCATAACTAGAAAAAGAAAGCTAACCAATTACAAAAATGAGTGCCTTCTGTGAAGGGATGATTAAAAGTATACGGTAGTTTGGAGTGAAAAGAATCTGGGAGGCTGAGACAGGATTGCAAGTTCAAAGCCAGCCTTAGCAAAAAGTGAGGGACTAAGCAACTCAGTGAGACCCTGTCTCTAAATAAAATAACAAAATAGGGCTGGGGATGTGGCTCAGTGGCAGAGTTCCCCTGAATTCAATTCCTGGTACCAAAAAAAAAAAAAAAAAGGAAAGAATCTTAGTATCTGTAAAATAATTAAAATATTACAGGATAATCCCCATATGCTAGCTGTAAGAAAAGTATTGTTAATTTGAAAAACTTAACTAAGTAACAGAAGATTTAGGGAAAGTAATAGAAACCAGATAATTAAGGCACTAAGGAATTTAAGATTAATTAGGGATATATATATGTATTATTATGTATTATTATATATTATATATATGTATTATATGTATTATTATATATGTATTATTATGGAAGGCAATTCTGCCCTTCTGCAAAAGTCCTTTAAGTCCTATTGTTCTAACTTAATGACATTTCTTATGTTCTAAAGATTTTACTAGTTTTTGTTTTGTTTTGTTGGATGGGGGGATTGAACCTAGGGACTCTCTACCACTGAGCTACATTCTGAAACAGGGTCTTGCTAAGTTGCCAAGGCTGGCCTTGAACTTACAGTCCTCCTGCCTCAGCCTCCATATAGCTGAGATTAGAGGGATGTGCCACTGTGCTTGGCAGGATTTTACCAGTCTTATTTTCAAATCATGTAACTTGGCCAAATCAATACTAGTATTTTATTATAGCTCTTTGTATACAGCTAAATGAGAGAAAGAAGAAACACTGGGGAATGATATTGTTATATTGTGTGCAAGTATGAAAATGTAACAACAAATCCTACTATTAAGTACA